TGGGAAGAGCACTGCAAAGCACTGGGCCATCACAGCATCCTCCCTGAAACTCTTCTAGAGCAAGAAACTGTAGAGCAGCATCCTGACTAGTTTGATGAGCTTAGCTACTGCCTTGTGATAAGCTTCCAGCAGCTCATGGGCATGTGGCTCTTGTCCATTGTGCCAGCCCACCAGTAAGGTGGACCTTGTCACCACAATCCATCACAGGGACTAAGGTGTTTCCAGGGCACAGTGTCCCTCATCCCAATGCAGCCATTTACTATTGCCTTGAAAAGTCATGGCATGTCCTTGGCTGTTTTCAGTGCCTGACAGCCACTGGTGTCTCCCCGTGTCAAGGTCTGCCAACAGTGGGTTGTGGCTGGGTTCTATGTCCAGGACACCTGCTGTGGGAGATTCAGCACAGCCCCTTCCATCAGAGGCATCATCACAGCCTGTCTGGCTGTCACATTCAGGGCTTTCTTTTCACATACTGGATGTTGGAGAAGCCTGTGTCCCAAGAGCAGCTCCCTGGGGACAGCAAGGCTTGTGTCACTCATGTCTTCTGCAGTCCACACAGCAACCACCCCTGTATCCTTGTCCTTCTGCTCCCTGGCTGCCCCAGAGTCCCTGCAGGATGGTGCTGGGTGCAGAACTGCAGCTTGTTTTGAGCTTGCAGGCCCCTGGACCACCAGGCTATGAACAAGATGGGGCCCAAGCCTGTATCTGTATCCAGGCTGCTGGTGAGGAAGAGGAGGACGAGGCTGCAGAGTGCAGGTGATTCTTCCTGCTGCCTGGCTCTTACCTGATTTCAGTCCAGGTCTGTGGGAAGAAACCTTACTGGGACCTGGGACAAAGAGGAAGGAATCAGGATCAGCAAGGACAGGGCAGCCCAGCCTCAGGTCCTGGAGCTGTGTTCCTGGGCTGGGGCTGCCACGGCCTTTGCTGCATCTTCCTTTCCTGCCTGGTGATCTCTGTGCCCACCTGTGACCAGTGTGAGGCAGGGCCCAGGTCCACAGAGCAGGGGAGGCACAGCTCCCTAGTGCCCTGCAAGCTTTGGGCTGACTCCATGCGCAGAGAGAAATTCCTAAAAGCTGTGAAGTGAGCTGCCTCTCAGGAGCAGACTGGGGCTGAAGCTATGCAAAGCTGTTTGCCTAAAGCCAAGGGGACTCCAGCACCTTCCATTTGGGCAGCACAAGGCTCCCAGAGATCCAGGGATCCTGCCCTGGATTCTGGCAGAGGGTGCAGAGGGAGCTACAGAGGAGCCCACGCCTTCTTGTTTCCCAGGCTCATGGGTTTTTTTTAATTGGCTGGACCTGGAGTCCTACAGAAGGAAAGCCAAATTTCTTGTCAGGTGGTTTCAGAGAGTAATTCAACTATGATGAGAAATAGCAACCTGAGCTGCAGTTATTGCTACAACTCTGAGGTCTGCCTAAGGGCTGCTGTGCACAGGTAGGCACAGAAAATCCAGCCATTAACCTCCTGGAGCTTCATTCCCTATCCCTCAGACTGATTTCAGGTGCTGCAAGAAGAGCCAAAATAGTTGCAATTCATGCTTTAGGTTCTGTCCTTGTTGTGGGTCCCTCAACCTGCTCTTGCAGTGCGGAGCAGCAGGACAGCATTAGTAGTGTTGGAGAGGTATCTGGGGACTCCACAAATGTCTCTTAAGCTGGCAAGATCTAGGCTGGATTCTGCTGTTGTCTGGTGAAGCTGGAGCAGCTGGGAGCCAGGCAGATCATGTTATCAGTTTGCTGGGTGCCTGCCAGCACCCCAATTTCTAACACTGACTGGACACTCAGAGCTAAAACCCTGCAGCAGTTGGGCTGACTCACGGTGGCTTAGCTGTGTGCCCCTGGGTGCCAGCAGCCCCAGCACAGGGCAGCAGGGCTGTACCTGTGAGAGAGGCTGAGGAGATGGTCCCGTAGGCAGCCAGGGAGAAACCCTGCTTGTGCAGGGCAGCTGCCAGCCCATGCCTGAAAGCTTCCTCCTCCAAGGTAGAGCTCAGGGGCTGGGAATCCTGGGGGGTGAAGAGGAGGCGGAAATGGACGATCACACCGGAGTTTCCATTCCTATTGGGAGACAGAGAAGTAAGGGCGACCTTGGCTTCATGGTCAGTACAAGGGTCAGGTTCCTGTGCTCTCTACAGGGAACCCAAAGGAAACAAATCTTAATATTTTGATTCTTAATAATTTAAGATTTCTCTGGAGATGTCCTCTGGGTTGACATGATCATTTGAATTTTTTTTTTTTACCTTTGGCCCAAAGCTGTGGTTAAACAAAATTCTTTTCCTCTGCCTTTCTGATTGCATTTTGAAATTTAAAAATCCAGAACATTGTTGCAATCTCAGACGAAAATCCAGCCTTGACCAAAAACCAGTTTCTCTTTGTACTAGCTTTGAACAAGAGACACAGGTATGGGTTCACCTTCTTGGTGAGGCTTGTCAGAATTCTCTGAAACATGAGCTGTAGGGTCTGCAGAGATAGCTGCCTACACTCACCGGTAGCCCAGGATGGTGCAACCAGTGCAACTCCAGTTCAGCTGGGAGTCCTGGAGACTGGACAGAAACTGCAAAGCAAAGAGTGATGGTCACACATTTACTGGACCCCAAGGAGATGGGAATAGATGATGCCTGGGATTTTGCTGGAATGTGGAGCTGTTGGTGCCTGGTCTCTTGCTCTTTAAGCAGAAGCACCCATGTCCAGCTCATATGTAAACTTTTTCCCACCCTGGCTTTTAGGGCATGAGGCAGTATATCTTTTTCCTATGTAAGGAATAGGCCTGAACACACGTTTCCCACTCCATGAATGTCTCTCCGGACCTTGACAGGGCCTCTCAAAATGTCGTTCAGCCCCACAGAGTACCCTGCTGATGTTTAAGAAGTCCTAGTTTTCCTCCTGCCCTTGGCTTAGAGATTCTGCTGGTGCTACCACCACAGTATTTCACAAGTGTTTTCCCAAGGCCCAGATAACTCACCAGCCTCTCAAGAGCAGGTGTCAGCACCCTGTAGTAGTCTGAGTTCTCTGTCTGTAAGCTGCTATTGAATGGGATTCCTTGCAGCTCCACTGTGTGCTCAAAGCTGGCCTCTCCTGTGGAATGGCAGGCTGCCAGAAAGGGAAGGTGTCTGTCAGAGGCAGCTTTCCTCACAGCTTTGCAACATGAATATCATCCTGTCTCCTTCAAACCCCCCGTTTTTAGCAGCTTGACTATCCCTGAGCATCCCAGCTGCCTCGGGGGTGCCCCATAACTGGACTGGGGTACCCTGTGCATGTGCAGGAATAGCATTTTGTACTGAACTTGTTTGAACTTGAAAACAGTGGGTTTTTGTCAAGCCTGAGACAGAAATTCATGAACAGATGGGTACAGCCTGGCAACCTGAGATTCGCACTATCCTTGCAGGAACAGCCCCGGGAAGGTTCTGCTGGGTACTGAAGCCACCTCAAAAACTGTGACTGTACAGCTGGCATGTGTCAGCCATGTCATGCTGGGGTCTCACTGGCATGCTGGCCTGAGGTGGCCATGGGGCAGCAGAAGCAGCAGGAGAGAGGTGGAAGAGGGAGGGAGATGGTGGCCATGCTCTGGAGTGGGACAGTAAAACAGGCAGTGCTCAATGGCTGCAACGGTCATGGTAGGAAATGGCAGAGGCAGCAAGGTACAGTGACAAGAAATGTCAAAGTCACAGAGACAGACTACAGGACAGAATCATAGAATAATGGAATTGTTTAGGTTAGAAAAACCTCTGAGATCATTGAGTCAAATCATTTCACCAGCACTGCCAAGGCCACCATGTCCCCTAAAGCCACATCTACATGTTTCTTAAATCGCTTAAATTGCAGGGATGGGAATTCCATCACTGCTCTGGGCAAACCTGTGCCAGGTCTGGACAGCCCATTCAGTGAACAAATTTTCCCTATGTCCAATCTTAAACTCCCCTGGGCCACCTTGAGGCCTTTTCCTATTTTCTGTCCTTGTTCCCTGGGAGCAGAGCCCAAACCCCACCAGGCTGCACCCTCCTTCCAGGAGTTGTGCAGAGCCAAAAGGTTCCTCCTGAGCCTCCTTTTCTCCAGACTGAGCCCCTCAAGCTCCTTCAGTTGCTCCTGGTGCTCCAGCCCCTTCCCCAGCTCTGTTCCCTTCTCTGAACACGCTCCAGCCCCTCAATGTCTTTCTTGTCATGAGATGTTTTAAAACTGAACCCTGGATTTGAGGTGGGGCCTCACCAGTGCCCAGCACAAAGGGACGGTCACTGCCCTGATCCTGATGGCCACACTATTGCTTCAGCAGATCAACATCCCACCCAGCTTGGGTCATCTGTGAACTGACTGAGGATGCCCTCCATCCCCACTGATGAAGATAATTAACAGGCCTGGCTTCAAAGTGGCCCTGAGGATCACCACTGGTCACCAGTCTCCAGCTGGATGTGACTCCATTCACTCCCATCCTCTGGGCCTGGGCATCCTGCTAGTTTTTACCCATTAAAGAGCACACCCATCCAAGCCATACGCAGCCAACTTCTACAAGGAAATGTTTATGGGAAATGGTGTCAAAGGCTTTACTGAAGTTGAGATAGACCAGATTCAGATGCTTTCCCTCATCCACTAGGTAGGTCATCTTGTCATAGAAGGACATCAGATTGGTCAAGCAGGAAAGGAATAGAGCATATGTATCATGAGACACTGAAGATAAAGGGCTCCAAAGTCACGTAGTGAGAACATGAGCTGACTACAGCCCTTGTAGTTTTTGTGCATTGTGCAGAAAGGTGTCTGCATTTTGATCTCAGTAGGAGGATTTTGAGATTTTTGCTATAAGCAGTGCAGACCACTTCTCTTTTGGAGTGCTAAACTGAAAGAATGTAGCTGGCAGCACACTCACCCAGCAGGATCCCCAGGCAGAGGGCTGTTGCAGTGCCTGCCACGGCAGCAGCAGCAGTTACCTTCCAGCAGCAGGCCCCCCATCTCCTCCTCTGGGTGCCTTGCCCTGGCTTTATCTGCTCCATGCTTTCTGAGCAGCTCTACAGATGGGCTCTGTGATTAAAAAGAAGAGGAGGAAAATTACAAGACTGGGATGAAATCTGTCATGTCAGCTAAGGTTACCACAGGAGCATCACTGTATGCTCCTGCTGGACTATTCTGACCTGGCAATGGAAGTCTTGGCATTAGGCTACGTGTAACCCCGAGGTGCATGTTATATGGATTAAAGCTCTCTAAATAATAAACCTCACCCTGTAGTTGTTCATGAGGCAGACTCCAGGGTGAGGTTTCATATAGCCCAATGCTATTCCACATTTTTTGCAGGAATTCTGGAGGAATTATAAAATCACAGTGGGTGATTCCCCCCTCCACTTTACAGCATTTAGCTGAGAGCTCCCAATGCCTAGTAATGTAGAGCAATTAATATGTCCTTTGCTTACAGCTTTGCTGCTATCCTGATAGTGCTGGCCAGTGCTAATGCTGGCCACAGGAGTAGATTCTCCTTCCCTGTGGCCAGCATTAGCACTGGTGCTTCCAGTATTTTGCCCCAAGTGGTCCTGCACCAGAAGCAAAGCTCCTTCATGTCACCTCTTCTGCCTCCACATTTTCCTTTGCTTGACTGGTTTCACTATGTCAATGTTTTTCATGCACTGAAGATGCTCAGATGGGATATGTTGCTCCAAGTGTGAATTCAAAAATGCCCAAAATAGAAAGAGTACCTCTCTTGTTTTGTTTTTTTTTTTCCTCTGCAGTTTTTCTAGTACAAGCCAGACTATATTTGGCCTTCATTTGCACATCAACAACTGGATATCACTAGGAATGAAACCAGCCTGTAATATACATAGTTATTACATCATTCAGACAGGTTAGTATCTGCAACAAGCCCGATGAGACAAGGAGGGACACTGATTTCCTGTGGTCCTAAAATGTATTAAATTACTGTATTAATATTTCTCCCTCATAGGCATGAAGAAGACGCACAATGCTGCTGTTCAAACTGGCAGGTTGAAGTTGTCTCAGACAATTTGTGAGATCAGAGTGGAAATCCACAGAAGTCCATTCCTCTTGGCCAAGGGTCCAGAGTGATTTTTTTGAGAACTCAAACTCTAACTGTTGGGGAACTCAGATTTACAGAAGACACCAGAAAAGCCTTGGCAAGGCACAATCACCTCTCAAACTTACTCTGTCTTGATATCGACAGCGTCAAGAGTACAAAACCCACCCAGCTCTTCCCTCCTCAGTTCCTGAGTCTGCCCTGCTGAGGGACATCTCACATGTCACATTCCTATCCTCTCAGGGCTGGGAGAGGTTGGGCTGCCACAGCAGCGATTCCCTGCCGCTGTAAATCAGACTGGGACTTCAGAGAAGGTGCAGAGGAACGGCCTTTTCTAATGTAAATGCATTCAGCAATGAAAGGAAGAGGGGAGGAAAGGGACACAGGGAGAAGCAGCTCCCTGTTTCAGAAGAGCTTTTCAGTGTTTTCCAAGAGGCGTCAGCAGCTCTTTAAACAGAAGCTTCTAGATAAGAGATTTTAGAAGGTCACTTCTTTGTGAGGCAGCAGACAGAGAAAGAGGAGAGGGAGGGAGAGTCTGTCCAAGATGCCTCTTTTTTTCTAGCAGACACCCAAATATTCTTTTTCAGCTGTAACTGAGCCTGGCACAGATTGGCACTGTGGCCCCCGGGTTCTGCTAACAATATCTCTGTTTGACAATTCAGCTCTGGCTAAGGGGAGACAAGTAGGGAACCTTTTCTCCAGTGGTCCTTGTGGCCTGAATACATACAGATGAGGAATCTCTCCTTCCCTCTTTCGGTAGGTTTTGGAGTCACTGTCCCTCTTGCAGTGTGCTGAATGTGGGCACGCAGAAATCCAGTTCAGGTGTGCTGCCCAGTGCAACAGTGGACTTCAATGGACCTCAAAGGTAGAACAGATGCGTCTGAGGAAAAAAATAAAAATTGCAGACAAAACTGGCTTGGGCTTTTTTTTTTTTTTTTTTTTTTTTTGACAATACAATCTTAGTTGCATGTAAAAGTCATACTACAAAAAAAGGTACTTGGAAACCTAGAAAAAAGTTTGCATTAGTGATTGCAGAGGCATTTTAACTGGAAAATAGTCTATTTAGAGAAACTTTCTACTTCCCAAAACAATCAAAACTCGTCTTTGTTCTCCCTTTTAGCATATTTTCTTTTGCTGTCAGTGGTGTGAGTTAAAAAGAATTAAAAGGACATGTAAAGGGAAAGCCATTTTGCAACAGCAAAATAGAGGCTGCGATTTTTTTTTCCCTGAAAGATAATAAGGATCATCTATAAGTCATAGTGGAGATCTGTGGCAAGAAACTATACACAGTGAAAAATATTGTGACATAAAATCAGAGGAGAGAAAATTAGATTTTTTTAGTAGGGCAGAAACTGGGAGAGTATTAACAGTCATGAGTTTCCAATAGGAATACTGAGAAATAAAAGCACATTTATGGTTTTTTTGTAAGCTTATAAATTGTAAGTGGTTATAAAATACGCCTTTGTAAGCAGGGTGTGGGGAACTCTGACCTAAGAGAGTCCCTGCACCAGTGGGGTGTCTTTTCACTGTTACATTTTAGCAGAGAAGGCATGTCTGATGTGCAGCACAGAGTCAGCAAGAGCTGTCCTGCAGACTGTCACCATCTCTGGCTGTCCCTGAGGATCTGCCACAGTGCTGGGAGTTGGCCACCACCCCTGCTCTGCTGCTGCTTGGCAGCATAGAGTTTGTTTTCTCCACAGAAGTCTGAATTTTTCTCTAGGGCAGCCTTGAGCCACTCCATAGGATTTCCTTGGAAGATGTATTTTATTTCTCAGCTGATTCAAGTAGGGAAATTGTAAAATATAAAGCGTTATGATAAATATATTCCTTTATCCAATTAGCTAAACAGTCACTAACACCCACTCTTCTTGTCAAAGAGGAAAAGCAGCACGTGAGTGTATGTGTGTGTGTGTGACTGTGTGACTGTGAGTGTGTGTGACTGTGTGTGTGTGACTCTGTGTGTATGTGTGAGTGTATGTAAAAGCATGTGTAACACTGTGTGAGAGTGTGTGTGACCTCACGTGTATGTGTATGCACACAAGTCTGTGTATGACCTCACATGTATGTGTGTGTGATCGTGTGTGTGATCGTGTGTGTGATTGTGTGCATGCACACATGTGTGTGGGGGAAGATCCCATGCAGGAGCAGCAGAGGGACAAGGCAGGGCCCCAGGAGAGGCCCCTGGTTGTTGGCCTGTGCCTGGGACAGCCCCAGCCTGGCTGTGGCAGGTGCCTCTCCAGCTCAGGTGATTCCACACACACCTGCAGGGCTGGCCCAGTCTCCAGCACAAATCGTGCAGGTTCCTGTTTCCAGGTAGAAACTGTCTTCTTGCAAAATGCCACAGCTCCTGACTCTAAAGCACAGTGGTGACCTCCCAGTTGGCTGCCCAGCAAAAGGGCTGGTTTTCTTCATTCACCTCCACATACCCTGGCCTTCTTTCTTCCACTGCTTGGTACTTCTCTTCCTTCACCTCACCGCATCTTCACCTTCATGTTTTCACCTCCTGAGACCTTTTCTTCTGCCTTTTTAGGCCTCTGCAGTCTCTCTCCCATGAGAACAGGAGTGTTTACACTCCTGTCTTGCTCTGCACTGGCCCAGGCTTCCTCCTGCTCTTCTCCAGCTTCTCCCATTCCCAGTCTGCCAGCCCCTACCAGCAGCCCTCAACCACAGGGACGCAAGCTGAGGTGCCCTGCTCTGAGCTGTTGGCCAGAGGAAAGAAAGACAGGAAAGAAATGGTGGTACCCGTTTTCAAAAGTCAACTTCATTTACAGCTAACTGATGCAAGGAAACCCTGATGTCCCCCAAGGGACAATGTAAGAAAACCACTGCCCCATCCCCACACACCCCCCCTGATGGTGAGTCTGGGCTGCTCTGGGGTCTTTGTGCTGCATTTCTGTATTCTAGCATGCTTGGTTTCTCCCACACTGTGATGATAAAGGGCAGCCAATATGCTGCAACCATTTGAATAACCAAGTGTTAATGGAATATTTGCTTCATCCCATAATGGGGTACTGTGGCTCTTAGCACAGCAATACAGTGTCTGCTGAGCCTTCAGACACGGGGGCTGTAAAACTGTCTCACTATGACCTGTAAATCCTGTAAACCCAGACAGAGCCTTTGCAAAATGATGGCACAAGTATGAAAAACATGCCACTTGCTCAAGGCAGACCACAAGCTCAGCAGCAGATCTGCCTGCAGCCTCAGCAAGTAATGAGTCTGTGGCCAAAGGCAAATAAAGGACTATTGATTTTATCACCAAAATAAGACTTGTAGCACTTCAGAGGGGGAATACAGCAGAAGCAGGATAGTTCTCCAGAAGGAGGTATCTCAAAATCAGAAAGCAGACTCCGATATGTTATCACTTGGTAGGTTCACCATCCAAAATCACAGCTGCCAAAACAATAAACCTTTGGTGACATATATATGACACCAAACCTGAGCCTGAGCAGGAGAGAAGACACTCATTTGCTGCGAGATGAGAAGCACGACCACAGGAGATAACAGATGTGGCTGTGCAAACAGATCTGCTGGCAGAGCAGGGTGGTGGGAGTAGCCAACCTGAAATATCTCTTTTAAAATGGGGTCAAGCCTAGTGATTTTATCCTTACAGCTGAGAATTTAGTTGCATTGAAACAAAGCTCAGAACTTGTGCCAGCAGGTACTGAGAATGGTAGAACACTTTTGTAGGGGAGTGGATTTCTAACCAGTGGTATCTGTTGGGTGGTGATGCAGTGTGAGGTCATGTCAGCCTGGAGATGGCAAGAACTGTGTGCCAGTTCATCCTTATGGCTCACTCTCTCTCTGAGTGGGGCTCCAGAGAAGGGAGTGCAGGAATTTATCCCAACATTGTTGCTTCCTGGTAAGCCCATATATTTCCCCTTGAACCTTCTGATGCGATGATCTTATGTCATGAAAAAAAAGTGTATGCAGAGACAGCAGCAGCTGGTCAAACAGATAAGAGATGGGTTATGATGAACAGAGCTCTCAGCATCAAAGGCAAACCTTCCCAAGACCAGCAGACACCGGCTTGGCTACATGGCCTTTTGTTTTGTGTGACATGAGCTTCACCTACCACAACACTGGTTCCCTGGACCAGCCAACACAGCATTTCTCTAATCCTTTTGCTTTAACCCATCTCCAGTTTCTGTAATGGATGTATAGAGCATATCCATGTCCCCACCTCTCTGCAGGTTAACATTTAGAAGTGGTTGTGCTGCATTTAAAAGGCTAAACCCTACTTTCAAGCAGAAAGAAGCTCATGTCACTTAAGAGAATGCAGATTGAGCTGAGGACACCTCATATTATTAAGGTGAGTGAAAAGCCCTGACACTGCAAGCTCCCAGATCATACAAGTGAGCAAATCTAAAAGCCCCTGCCACTCAGAGTACTGAGGATCCTAAGCCCCTCTTCACCTGCAGCACTCATGGAGATGCACCTGGTTCAGCTGTAGTCCTGCTCCCAGCAAGCCAAATGACACTGTGCTGGCCTTGTTTATTGTCCGTCCTCGTCTACAAATGTCTCTCAATTTACAAGTAAGAAGATCCTCTCCCTGCCTGCCAGCTCAGCAGTCTCAGCTGGGGCATGACAGACAAGCTGAGCTCCCCAGTGCTCGCATTGTCACAGGTAACAAAGGCTCTAACATCACTTCCACCTTGGAGACACTCACCCTGAGCTCTCTCTCTCTGGTAACAAAGTACTGGGCAGATTTGTACCTGCAATTACTTCTTAAACTTGTAGCCGTGGATTACACAATAAAATAAAGGCAGCCTTGCCCCCCTTACCCCCCCAACTCTGCTGGCTTGAAAACTCAGTACAGATAGTAAATACTGAATACACATAGGGAGTATCCAGTAAGCCAGGAAGTCCATGTTTGTCTGTTACTTTCCACAATAGGAGCACTATATAATTTGATACTTTTCAGCTCATGAATGGCCAAGAAAAACTCACATGCTTAACTCATGGCATTTCCACCACTGACATTCAGTCACCTCCCCTGAACACTGCCCGGCCCAATGTGAGGGTGTGGGAGAAATCTTGGTCCCAATGAAGCTGATGGACATACTGGGACCAGAGGCTCTTGGAGAAACAGGGGCTAAAGTAGAGGTCTTCAGTTGGCAAATAATCACATTTTATTCTTTCTTACCAGCTTACATACATTAGAAGCAACGTGTAAATTACATTTTTACCTAGCTTCAGCTGTTATTACAGATTGTCAGGTAGGCATTAGTGTTCATAGATATGAAATCCCCAAGCTGCCCTGAAATCAGTTACCTGCAATGCATGCTCCCTCAAAGGAAGAATTCACACAGAGAAACCAGCAAGTGATGAATGGTATCAGTCAAGCAGTGCACTCTCAGCACTTGAGTCAATGAGAGTGAAACTCTCCGTGTATCAATATGGGACAGTGCCACATGCTGACCTCCAGCGCTGAAGCTGTGTGACCATGCCCAGCTTTGGGCAGCTGCGTGACTGTGCCTAGCTGTGGGCAGCTGTGTGACCGTGCCCAGCTTTGAGCAGCTGTGTGACCATGCCCAGCTGTGGGCAGCTGTGTGACCGTGCCCAGCTTTGGGCAGCTGTGTGACCGTGCCCAGCTGTGGGCAGCGCTCCGGCCTGGGGAGGCCACACCGGGCAGAGGCCACAAGACGCAGGCACACAGCGGCTGCTCCAGTCCTGGACCTGCTCTGGGCAGTGCTGCCCGGCTGGACCTCGCTCACAGAGGCCTCCATTAGCACACCTTGCTCACAGAGGCCTCCCTTAGCACATCTTGCTCCCTCAGCACACCTCGCTCACAGGGGCCTCCCCTAGCACACCTCGCTCACAGGGGCCTCCATTAGCACACCTTGCTCACAGAGGCCTCCATTAGCACACCTTGC